AAAAAAAAATATATAAATATATATATATATATATATATATATATATATATATATATATATATATATATGATATATTTAAAAACTATGTATGTAAAAAAAAGTCATAAATATAGCCATAAAGCAATAGAAGATTGAATGTAGCCACGAAATACAAGTAGGACAACACATCCTTGTTGGTAATGAAACAGCATTCCTATCTATCAGATTTTAGGGTTAAACTTTGGACATTATGGAATAGTGATATAAAAGTAGATTAGAGGAATTACTGTTTGGTTAAAATGTTGGTCCAGAACCAAAAAAAATAAAAAAAGATGATCCAGCAACATATAGGATATATTTAAATTCATATGCAAAGATGCAATTGCAGATGCAAATTTCAGTCAAACTTCCCTATGCAGAGAACATTCATGACCTGAAAATCATCTGATCTGTGCCTTTAATGCTATATGCAAGATACTACATTTGCATGCAAGTGTAAAACTACAGTAGTAGCAGTGCCAACATTACATTCACATTAGCATTATTCATTTGGTAGATCCTCTTATTCAAAGCAACACACATTGTATTCAAGGAGATGTGGAAATTAAAAATAACATAAATAGACACATCCTGTCTGCTATTTTTGTGAGCTCAATCTTTCCTGAAGAAGGTCCTAAACTAAACCGTGCCATGAAAATAACTTTCAAATCTATGTAACACTGTTATAACACAGTTATTATTTACTTATTATTTACTTATTACAGTCTACTAATTATAGCACACCCAACAATCTAAATTCTGTCATTAATTACTTTTATGTTGTTCCAAACCTGTATTTATGACTGACTTTTGTCTGTGCAACACAGAAGGATATATTTTGAAAGATGTCTCCGTTTTCTCCATACAATGAAAGTCAGAGGGGTTCAATTTTGTTTGGACCCCAGTGTTCTTCAAAATAACTTATTTTTGTGTTCCAGGTTGCATACAGGTTTGAAACGGCATGTAAAGTGTGAGTAAACTTTTTGTTTTTTTCCTACTTTAAGGATTTTGTTGGGACTTGCTTTACTGAATGCTATATCTGAATGTCTATATCTGAAGACATATTCTTCACATTTCTCATAGTGTGATCACTGTGAGTCTAAAACCATTTTCCTCATCCAGAGCTGATGTTATCAAGATCTAGTTCCAATATCTGACCCTCTGCTGACAACAGGGAAAAATAAATAAAGTGAGAAAGAAAAAAAAGAGACAAATAGGTCTTGTTTTTTGCCATCAGCTATCCTGAGGTTGCTAAAGCAATATTTTTGGGTGTGTATTATGCTGAGCATTTATCACAAAAAGAAAAAACCCCCCCGAGAGACTGGGGCTGAAAAGATATACTGGCCACTATCTCCTAAACAAAAGCATTTGCACTTTTTGTCAAAATTTTGATGATGCTGGTTTTATCGAGCTCTGGTTCTATATAAACTAGCTTGTGGCTTGCTGGGGTTGTGGCAGCGAGGCCTTGTTCTACCTCCCTCAGGAAAACACACCTCACATACCAACATTACACTCATGTTTCCACCAATCTCAGTCATGCGAACGCATCTCGCAAGCCAGGACTCAAGGGACACCAACAATGGAACCCTTTGAAGTATGAAATCAAGAATATCACAGAAAACCTTTGTGTCGCTACTGACTATATGGTCCCTGGTGGGATGGTTTGCTGCCACAGGCGAGGAGATGGAGAAAAAAAAGGCATGAGGCAGGAGAAGCAAAGTTTGGGATGGTGAAGTTCATAAACTAAAAAAATCTAAATATATTTTTCTTCACTATGTTCGTATTTTGAATGTCAGTTAAAAAGTGTATCGCTGTATCTTTCTAGCTCTAAAGAGCAATTGATTGGACAAAAATCTGTGTAGTGTAACACAAGTTATCAATATTTCAGTCCATTTTCCTAGAAAATAACAACTGAAAATATTACATGTGAATTCCCGCTAAAAGTGAATTTCAACATTTGAGTACACAAAACAAAGCCATATAATTAGTCTGATTTAGGATCGAGGTGTTTCAGGAAGTTTACAGGATGCTCCTGTTTAAAAGCACCATGACAGGACAGACTTCAAAATGTAGGGATTTTAATATTCAACAGATAAGTACACTCCATATTAATTTAGTGCTCAAAACTCTCATAGTCCTCACAAAACAATGAATTATGCATAAAAACAGGAACACTGCGCAACACAAACGTCTGGACTCCAACAGTAACTGTCTTAAAATGTATTGTTCAATGTGCTGAATTTAAAACACAAGCTGTGTTTTGATGGCTATAGTGGTTTTATTTATTTTATTTTTTAACTTATTTATTAAAACTAATATTTTAAAGCATGATGCTTTAAAGAAGACCAGTTTAGAGATACAGCATGTCAGAAAGTTTTAGCTTGCTATCATTAACAGTTTGCTGTCAACACCTTAAAACCCTTTCCAAGACACTGCATCTCTAAATTCATCCTCTTTAAAGCACCATGCTAAAAAAAGATTAAAGGTAAAAAAAGAAAACTGGTCGACTTCACTAATTGGTTGTTGCGAGACTAGTCGACCATCCTGACCTATCCCTAGTGATAATGAAAAGCTGTCAACAAAATCGAAGTAACCTCTAAGAGTTAACTATGTCTATTAAAATTGACCACATCTCAGCATCCTCAATTCTCAGAAGATGAGATGAAATATTCACTCAAACCTCCACTGTAATTCTTCCCATCCCCAATCGCATTTTCATTACAGCTCTGAACTCCTGTCCTGTCTGCAGAGCTCAGCGGGAAAATGCAAGAAAAATCTACATCAGCAATTAGAGCGCACTTTTATGGCAACACTCCGGAGGGAGTAAAACAAGGCTCCATCTTTTCCCATTAGATTTTCTCTGGCTAATAATACCCTTCTTTCACCAGCTAAGCAAGCCATTTTCAGACACGTTCCAGTAGCGGTTGAGAGGCAGTCAAGCTCACAAATCCTTTCACTTCGTCACACTGGTGCTGCCATCTCATCTGATGAATAATGTCAAAGGACAATTCATACTAGTGCCAAATTGTGTGATTGTTCCGGTGCTAAGGCAAGTTAAGATTTTGTTGTTGTTAACCTAAAATTATATTGACAGTCACTGTGCTTTTTTAGCATTATGGATAAAAAGCAGCTGTGATATTTTGATAATAGCTCCCTCAGTACACCTTCCACAGAAAAAAAAAGTCAAAAGAGTTTTCACTTCACAAATGCATCAGTTTTACGTAATTGGCTCAGTTCAAATTAGTTCAGAACATTAGCCTACAGGAGTAAAACAAGGCTCCATCTTTTCCCATTAGATTTTCTCTGGCTAATAATACCCTTCTTTCACCAGCTAAGCAAGCCATTTTCAGACACGTTCCAGTAGCGGTTGAGAGGCAGTCAAGCTCACAAATCCTTTCACTTCGTCACACTGGTGCTGCCATCTCATCTGATGAATAATGTCAAAGGACAATTCATACTAGTGCCAAATTGTGTGATTGTTCCGGTGCTAAGGCAAGTTAAGATTTTGTTGTTGTTAACCTAAAATGATATTGACAGTCACTGTGCTTTTTTAGCATTATGGATAAAAAGCAGCTGTGATATTTTGATAATAGCTCCCTCAGTACACCTTCCACAGAAAAAAAAAGTCAAAAGAGTTTTCACTTCACAAATGCATCAGTTTTACGTAATTGGCTCAGTTCAAATTAGTTCAGAACATTAGCCTACTGCTAAATGCACACTGCACACTATATGGGTAAAGAGCGACAAATGATAAAATGGGACAGATATGCTTGAATATGATTTTAACTTATCTTCGCAACAAATTTACAACAACCAGCAGGAAAACCAATGGTGGGGAAAATTCTAGTTTTAAAAAGATTTACCTCAGATTTATACGTTCACTTAATATTTGTAAATGTTACATATATTTCATGACATAAAATGTACCAGAAAATGACAAAGTGATTACAAATAATTTGTCTAATATATATATATATATATAGGCTCCTGTCTGGCTTGTTTAAGAGGGAAAATTATCCTCTTATCCCACTTTACCCTTATTCTGGGCTTTGATCAGAAGAGGGCTTTCAGTGTTCCTCTCAGTATTTAAAACAACAGAATGTTGACAACACAATAACAATTCACATTTTGCATAATTCAGCAAGTGCTGTCTAGTTATCATCACAGAAATAAATCCAGTTATTTTCCATTTCATGGAATCAAAAGTTTGGGATCAGTAAAATAAGATTTTTTGATGTGTATTTACTGTTTTTTTAAGTCTCTTCTCTGATTCTCATCAAGGATGCATTTATTTGATCAAACACAGTGATTTATTATGCTGATTTATTATCAATGCTGGAAGCAGTTGTGCTGCTTCTTTGATGAATAATACGTTAAAAAGAACAGCGCTTTTTCAAAAAAAGAAAACTTTTTCTCTAACTTTATCAAATAAATGCGGTCTTGATGAGCATAAAAGAGAGAGAGGAAAAAAAAAACATTACAATCTTTCAGATCCTAAACTTCTGAATGACAGTGTATGTACTGTATATACATACTATAAGAGTGGTTTGGTCGTATGTTATATCTAACATAGCCATGGCTTATTCCTGGAGGTAAATCTCAGTACAAATAACAAGGAAATAGAAATATACCATTCAAATTAGTTGAGCACTTACTAAATAAGTTTGCTTGGCTCTTGCCTTAAAATGAGAATTATGTTGATAATAAAAGCTCGCAAATGGGTTTTCAGAATGAGATATGCTTTCATCTTTTCTCAGCTGAAATATTGTGGAAGAAAAACACAGCCACTAAACAGTCTTTCATATGTTATAGCCTGAATATTGAATATAAAGATCGATGCAAAATAGAACTGTCATGTTTTTTTGTTTTTTTATAAGAGTCTGCCATCTCTAATTCCTGTTGACTGGTGCTTGCATGTTTAATATATATTTATTTTATTTGATGTATTTATTTGTTTATAATTTTTGTGTTACAGCCAGGAGAACTTTAAGGTGAAATATAAGATCATGATGCCAATCTGAAGTATGTAGCATACCTGTAGATGTCTCTGGCCATGCCAAAATCACCAATCTTGGCCACCCTCCCTGGACCTTTGCAGGTCAGAAGACAATTCCTGGCAGCAATATCCCTGTTACGAATAAAAAGTGAGCAGACAGACACATTTATCTCAGATATTTGTCTGATTTTAAATTAAACAATGACAAAAAATAAATAAAAAAATCCGGTATCACCATATAGTGATATGTTACCATATAGTCACAGTTCTTTTTGTCTTGTGTTGTCTCTTGTTTCTCCTGAAATATGTATTGTTTCTCCCATGGATTTTCATCATTGTTTTTGTGAAATATATTAAAGAAAGCTGCATTTAGATCACTCTCTTCTCATCCTTGTTACCCACCAGGACACATGTTTCATGCTGAGATATATTTTCAGTAACTTAAGCTTTGCCAGCTTAAAGTTTTTAGCACTGTTCAGCAGCAATGTTGTGATGTGAAATTGTTTCCAACCCTGTTACTGTAAATAACCTTCTTGCAAATGCAGGTATATTAAATTGGCTAACTAATTCTAATCATAAATGTCCATTATGCCTATTGTCTAATTACTGGTGTCCACTTTAGGAGTTATTCGCACCATTGTGAGATGCTGTCCACACATATTTAGAGCATGCAAAATGAATGTTAGCCCATTCACACCTCTAGTCAGGTTGCACCAAAGATATAATTCTCCAATTATAAACAATGAACCTGTCAACTCTGCAGGTGTTTGAAACCACAGTCAAGCACAAACTTTGTCTGTATCATAGATTGCTGTACATTCTAGTTCCAGTGACCTATAGATAGACTCTTGCCAAACTCTAAACTAAGTCAACATCACACACTAATTAACAGTACTTTGTTTTGTCACCTTTCTTTGTCTCTGTTGCATGTTGATTTTATAGGAATCTTGAAAGTTCTTCTCGTTACACCCAATCTAATTTCTTATAAAAATAACATTACTAGAAGACAAAGGATCATAAACTTTCCCTCCGTAAGTACAATTCCTTATTGGCTCACCTCCTGAGAGTGTGACACCCTCACACTTTAAAAGATCACTAAGTTCTAAATGGATTCTGAAGTTTGGTGAAGATGATGCTGAGCTAGAAGTCTTCAAAGGACCCCTAAGTTTTATCAAATAAATGCAGCCTTTGCATTCATCAAAAACCTTCTGCATTGAAACCTGTTCTCTCTCATCAACAGAACTCTCTTTTAAACAGGCGAGATGTGCAAGTATCAAACTTTGTCTCATTAATTGAGACACTAAGTATCATCTAAACCATTTTTATAAAGGTGTGTTTGAATTAAGAAACTGATGTTTTCTTCAGGCTGTAGATCTGCCGAATATCAAATACTGCTATAACGTCATTATTTACTATGCTTCAGCTTTAGTCCTCTTCCTACATAAAACATGGAAACCTGTGTGTGTGTGTCTTAATGTCCCCACAAGGATAGCGATACCAGTAAATCTTGACCTTGTAGGGACATTTTTTTGGACCCCATGAGGAAAACAGCTTACAAATCATGCAAAATTAAGGTTTTTGAAAATCTAAAAATGCATAATGTTTTGTGTGAGGGCTAGGTTTAGGGGTAGAGTTAGGCAAAGGGAATAGAAAATACAATTTGTACAGTATAAAATCCATTGCGTCTATGGAATGTCCCATAAAACATGGAAACCAGTGTGTGTGTGTTTAGTGTAGTTAATCAAGTCTTAACATCCTAATCATCAAACCAGTCACTCAATCCAAATAGTTTAATTGATCATGATTATAATTTTTTTCCCTTTTGGTCTAATTTTGCTACAGTGTTATGGTCAGACAAGCTACAAAGTTGTGTATAGTTACGAGGACAGTAAGAAGTCTTGGTCTGCAAGACTATTCGTGTTTCCTTTTGAAGGTCATGTCAAGAAACTCATGTTTCCAATTACGTGTACTATTTGAAGGCATTTGGTGTTTGGTTGACAGCAATGGATTACGCCTTTTATGCTAAAAAAAAAATCCCCAGAAAGAGCAAAACGATCAATCCCTCTGGGTTTTGACCAAAAAGTTGAAACTGAACACGAAGGCCCAGATACATTTTAACTCGGCTGTGTGAGGAACTTCAGTAGGAAACCGCAGATGGGTAAGTGTCTCAGCATCCCTGTTCTATACCTGGATTGATGACCAGACTGCTCATGTAGCATAAATGAGCTCTAAGTGGACTCATTTTTCATGCCATTCTGGATGAGAGTGTCAAAAGGAAATAGAACTGAACTCCCATTGCAGGCATGAGAGGGAAGCAGAACTCCTGAACAGAGTCAAGAGCACTGAATTTGTGCTGACTTCAGGAAAAAGCAGATCATCCATCTGTTGTTAAATCGATCTGTAATGTGTCAAGGTGTGTTGGTTATTATACCTGTGGATGAACTGGTTCTCTTCTAAGTACTGGCAGCCGCGGGCGATGTCTCTGGCAATGTTGAGAAGATCTACCATGGTTAGACTTGAAGGATGCTCCTGGGAAACATTACAGAAAGTCAGCATGCTGGGTATTCCCTTGTGAAAAATAAGTACACTTTAGCAAATTTTGAAAAGAATACTTATTAATATATTTCAATAATATACTTAGAAGAATATACGTAAGTGCAAACAGAATGTGATGTCTTTAGTGACATAATTGCACGTTATCTGCATTTAAATACACATTTATTATAGTTCTAATATTTATTAAACGCAATTAGTTGAACTTAAGTCCTACTTTAGTGTGCTTTTTTGATCCACTTAGTACATATTTGTAATTTCATTATTAATTATATATTCTTTGAAATACCAATAATGCCACTGCTATTAAAACTTATGTATTTTTTTTTATTACAATACATGTTTAATGGTTTAGTTGAAATTTAGTACATTAAAACTTTAAATATGATACCAAACGACACTAAAACACTACAGTTAAAATTACAATCAAGCACTTTAAATGTGCTTTAGTATGTTAGTCAACACATCAGATTAAGTTGACTTCTTTATATCCTGAGAAAGTAACATTAAAACATGATGATTTAAAGTGCACTTCAATGTAAAACTTTTAATTTGACATTACAGTATAAAGTAAACTTTACTTGTGGCCATTTATTTCATAATTTTTAATATACACAGAAACAAATACACCACCACCACCACCAACCAAATAAATAATCTAAAAGCAAAGTCACAAACTACTAATCAAATAAACTAATAAAAAACATAACTTAATGAGGTTTATGCAATACAAGACACTGTGCACATTCTGTGACGTGTGTGTACATGTGTGTGTGTGTGTGTGTTCTTACAAGTCTTGGTCTAGTTTCCCTCAGGAAGCTCTTGAGATCCCCTCCGGCCATCAGTTCCAGCAGAATGAAGCGAGGCAGAGCTTGCAGACTCACCCCGATACACCGCACAATGTTTTGGTGACTAAACTTGCTGTCAGAGGAATAGAAAGAGAAATGTGGTATTTTTGCTATATGTCCTCATAAATTAGCCCTTTGGAATGATGTATTTTGTGCTTATCATTGTTACCTGATTATGAGAGCTTCCATGAGAAAGTCTAGTTCATCCTGCTCAGAGCACACCTCAGGAAGTGTCTAATAAAATAATAATTTAATAATCAAATCCATGCTAAATCTGTCTACCACCCATCCATATATATATATATATATATATATCTAGCAGTAATATTTCAGAATACTACAGAGCATAGAAACCAAATCAATGTACTCATGTTTACAATAATAAATCAAACTATGAAACCGCAGTATGCAAGATCAAGCAGCATAACAGACTTTTTATATATTTGCAGATCTTACCTTTACAGCCACCTGCATCGGGCTGGGCTCCCCTGGAATCCCAACGGCTAGTCCTTCATAGACTTCTCCAAATGCACCATGACCCAAACCTCTACAAACAAAACATACATTAAGAGTATTGTTACTTATGTTGTCAATAATATAATTCCAAATATTTCACATAGTACATTTAGGAAGTTTCAGACTTCACTTATTAGAAGATACATTTTTATCAACTGTATGAAGACACTTCACAGTCAAACAACATGCCAGCACATAACACTTCTTCAACGCAACTGAACTGTAAGGAATTATTGACGCTCCCAACCTGGCGAGGGAGATGTTGCGCCGTGGCACCTCCTTCAGATCGTTGATGGAGGCGGTCTTCCCACCAAAGCAGTAGTTGGGATTGTAGTCGGTCATGATGGTAGAGGCTCTCAGTTTGCTCAGCTTACAGTCGGGACTCTGTAGCTCAAGTTGGATAGACTGGAGCTCGGTGTGTTTACGTCTGTACACTGGAACGACAATCAGCACAGCATGATATTTTTTTTTAGTTTGCGACATAAATGTTAGCATAATGGGATTGTTGCCATTGTCAATGTTACATTCAGATTCAATTTGGAAATGAACTATCAAACTGCTGTACAATAACCAGTGTTATAATGTTTGTTTGAGGTCCTTTGGGACAAATTTAATTGGACTCAAATTTAATTTGTCTTGTTATCAGGTTTATTATTAAATCAGATTTAATAATTAAAATCTATTTTCTCTGTAATTTGAATAATTTTAGTTAACTATAACAAGCTTAGTGGTGACATTTCATTGCAAATTTGTGGATAACTACATGATAAAAACACTTTAAAACAGTTTTCACAAACAGGCAACACCCAGGTAAACTTGGTGGGCTTGACCGACGCAGTAAATACATTAGTGCAGCGTGTGGAAGTGATTTATTCATAAAGTGGTAATCGACAAGGCTTGTCAGAGCTCAGTTAACAGCCCATTTATCACACATCTACTCTATTTATCACTCAGAGACAGTTACGACAGTGTAGATGGACAGATTATGTGTTGTCGGGACTCTGTAGCTCAAGTTGGATAGACTGGAGCTCGGTGTGTTTACGTCTGTACACTGGAACGACAATCAGCACAGCATGATATTTTTTTTTAGTTTGCGACATAAATGTTAGCATAATGGGATTGTTGCCATTGTCAATGTTACATTCAGATTCAATTTGGAAATGAACTATCAAACTGCTGTACAATAACCAGTGTTATAATGTTTGTTTGAGGTCCTTTGGGACAAATTTAATTGGACTCAAATTTAATTTGTCTTGTTATCAGGTTTATTATTAAATCAGATTTAATAATTAAAATCTATTTTCTCTGTAATTTGAATAATTTTAGTTAACTATAACAAGCTTAGTGGTGACATTTCATTGCAAATTTGTGGATAACTACATGATAAAAACACTTTAAAACAGTTTTCACAAACAGGCAACACCCAGGTAAACTTGGTGGGCTTGACCGACGCAGTAAATACATTAGTGCAGCGTGTGGAAGTGATTTATTCATAAAGTGGTAATCGACAAGGCTTGTCAGAGCTCAGTTAACAGCCCATTTATCACACATCTACTCTATTTATCACTCAGAGACAGTTACGACAGTGTAGATGGACAGATTATGTGTTTGGTGGTGTGTGTGTGTGTGTGTGTGTGTGTGTGTCAAACATGAGACATGAATCCTCATTTTGAAAGCTTGTCTGGCATGTGTGCAGTTGAATGAATATACTGTTTCTTTAAAAGTGCATTCAATAGGTTTTCCTAAAAAAATAAATAAAATACAGACCAGACAGCCCCAAAAATTATTTTTGAATAAATAAATACATACATACATACATAATTCTTATTCTTTTTCAATGACACTTTTGGTCATGAAATAAAGTAAATTTCACATTTCCTACAGTGGCATTGATATCGCTTTGGCATGAAGCTACATCCACACCCATAGGTGTCAGTATACTGTCCAAGACCACAGTCATATTGGCCAGTGAAACATAAAATATGCAACATATTATTATATCATTTTCTGTGATCTTTCTGCAAGTGCAGGTTTATTCGCTTTGTTTCTAATACTCAAAAAAATAACAAAAAGCTTCCCCAAATGGCTTGGCTCCAGTATTATGTTTTGGTTAACCTCTGAGACTCCATGAAACTATGCTCATAAAAATAATTTGACATAGTCTACTTACTGATCATAACGCCAGAAACGGCCAACAGCAATGCAGCGATGAGCGCGGAGGTCCCCACAGACAGACCCAATGCCAGATGAGACAAAGACGGCTGGGCGGGCAACATAGACACCGCTACATAAACACACAGCAACAAATATACACTTCACATGAGTCAGGCAGAACTCAGTAGAGCTTTTCACATTTCATATAGTTAACTTAGGACCATAAAAAAAAAAAAATTATAATAATAAAAAAATTATAATAATCTTACCACTAAGAATTCTCCTAAATAGCAGTAAAAGTTTTTGGCTAAGAGTTTTCTCTTAAAACCTATTCACAAAGCTGCTGAGACGACAAACTTTTTCTAAGGAATAGAGAGAAGTCTTAAGCTAACAGTAAGGGTGGGGTCGACCTCATTGGTATGGATGATGTCAGCATGCTTATTAACTATGCACACAGTGATTGGCTGATAGGGGAGTGGTCTCTGTCAGAGTTTTTTTTTATCATAGAAATATTGTAGAACGCGATATTATGTTGCCATATACAAATAAAGGTTTAAAAATAAAAATGTTAATTGCCACATTCAAATAAATAAAGTTTTAAAATGCAGGCTAAGTGTCACTAATTAAAGGGGTGGTTCACTGTTTTTTTTCTAGGCTTGATTGTGTATATGGGGTGCAGTTTAACATGTGTTAATGCTTAGTTTAAAAAAAAAAAACACATTATTTTTCACATACTTTACCTTAATTCCACACCGCTCTGTCCCTTCTCTGAGAAACAGGCCGATATTTTCCTATTTTTAAGATGCCCGGCCCTCAGAAATAGGTGATGGGCTCTGATTGGTTAGCTAGCCCAGTGTATTGTGATTGGTTAAACCGCCTTTAAAACCTATTCACAAAGCTGCTGAGACGACAAACTTTTTCTAAGGAATAGAGAGAAGTCTTAAGCTAACAGTAAGGGTGGGGTCGACCTCATTGGTATGGATGATGTCAGCATGCTTATTAACTATGCACACAGTGATTGGCTGATAGGGGAGTGGTCTCTGTCAGAGTTTTTTTTTATCATAGAAATATTGTAGAACGCGATATTATGTTGCCATATACAAATAAAGGTTTAAAAATAAAAATGTTAATTGCCACATTCAAATAAATAAAGTTTTAAAATGCAGGCTAAGTGTCACTAATTAAAGGGGTGGTTCACTGTTTTTTTTCTAGGCTTGATTGTGTATATGGGGTGCAGTTTAACATGTGTTAATGCTTAGTTTAAAAAAAAAAAACACATTATTTTTCACATACTTTACCTTAATTCCACACCGCTCTGTCCCTTCTCTGAGAAACAGGCCGATATTTTCCTATTTTTAAGATGCCCGGCCCTCAGAAATAGGTGATGGGCTCTGATTGGTTAGCTAGCCCAGTGTATTGTGATTGGTTAAACCGCCTCTAGTGCGTGTCTAAACGTCCCGCCCCTCACCTCAGCGGCATGTGATCCGGTTGTATTGTAAACAACGGCGTGGTTAATATCGCCCGATTGAGAAGCAGAGGATATTATTGAAGAGGATCGTGCAGAACCTGTGCAAGCACGGCTTTTAATGGTAGGCCTATGTTTTTTTGTTTGTTGTTGTGTCATTCTTCTAGATATGCTGTTATGTGTAAATGCTACTGCTTATGTTAGCTTTTAATATACGGTTTTATCCTGATTAAAGCTTTAATACAGTACGGCAACTGCACACACGTCCATGTATAACGCTTCTCATAGCTATGTGAAAATAAGTGTATAATTGTAACAGTTCATTGTTGGAGCTGAGCTAAATGAGAGCGAGAGAGAGAGAGAGAGAGAGAGAGAGATGCAGAGCGTGTGTAGAGCAGGGGGACGTGAGGAACAGTATTAAGAACTGCTGCTTTAGAACATTGATTTTGAAACTTGTGAATCCATTAGAATCGTTAGAAGACAGAATCGCGATTCATATATGAATAGATTTTTACGTGCATCTCTAGTTTTCTCTTCCTCTTCTCTAAAGCAGCGCAGCATGGCCTCGCCCCCTTTGCTGCCTTTTCCCGAGGGCGGGGTTTATCTGGGTTTATGATGTCACAAACCCGGGAAGTACCTTGTTGTATTCCCTACCAGCCATTTTGTAGGCATTAAACTGCCAGAATTTTAAAAGACAATATCTCCATTTGCATTGAACTTTCAGCTTTGTAACTTTGCAGATATTGTTTATGCTCAAACAGCAACATTACACACTAACTAACGTTAAAAAAGTGAAATCGCAATCAACCACCCCTTTAAACAAGTATATGTTCAGCTACTTGTCAGCCTCTTACATGTATGCTTCTCGTAAACAGTTAGCAGATATGCATATAAACAGCCTTTTAATTAACAGAGCAGAATAATCATGGCTGATAGTAAGACATTCAAACGTAAAAGAAAACCAAACTGGACACAAGAACAGTTGTTACTTCTTGCCCAACAGATTTTTTTTTTTTTTTGAAAATTGAAAAATTTGGAGTTGGGATAACCTTTTTAAAATCCCATTATTGTCAAATTCTTCTAAAATGTTTACCTTCCAAGGCAGATTGCCGGCAACAGCCTTTTTCAGATAGTTTGTGGTTTGGTCTTGGACTTAGAAGAAGACTTAGGAGTCTTCTCCACTACTCCGAATGTTTCACAGATCTAGGAGCTAGTTTTAGCACTAAAATGCTTTTTGAAATACTCTTAGAGCAAAAATTTAAGAATTAAATTTATTTTGTGAATACGAGCCCTGGATTTTAACCAAGGTGCCCTTTGAAGATGAACAAAAACTTTGCCCTTAGATTCTGCTTTAATCATACAGAGAAAACTATGCTTTATGAACCACGACTGGCACTTGTTATATATAAAAATATATATATTTATTTGTTTATACAACAGTTTGTTCTGGTTCTCAAATCTGATTGGTTGAGAACCGTGAGATATTGTACTGGTATTGCTACAGGAATGCCCTTTCACCATTTGTATCACTCCGCTTCCCGTATTTCTCATAGCGAGTGTCATGGCGGATGCCCAAATCCACTGAAATTTTTAAATAATACTGTTTTTGTGTCACGGAATGTAGTTTTAAGAGTTTTTTAAGAGAGAATGTAGTTGTTTAGACTTAAAATATGCAGTTTGTTAATAAAGATAACATCTATTTGAAAATTTGCTTCAACGTTTTCAGAGACATGAGCTCCAGGGCGTCAGCAGTCGTTCAGCGCTCATGAACCCACCGAGAGCAGCCTCACCTCGGCCAGATCTTCTGGAATTTGCCGCTGGCTCTGATGTCTCTATAGTGGTATAGTGGAGATATAATTTGTTTTGAGTAATTCTAATGGGCAGTCTTTGGTCTCATTAATCTATTATTTGTTCCAGAGCAAATAGTTTTGGCTGAAGGCAAAATCTCATCGCGTTATATTTTATGTAACTTTAATGCTGTATATTAGAGCGCTGCCTTTGTACTTTTGACTGCATTGTCTACCAACTTTTTTGATGGCTGTTGTTGTTTATTATTCAATAAATAATATTTTATATACATAGTAGTATTTAGTATTGGGAAACAGTGTGTGTGTGTGTTCATGATGGTGATTTTTGTGACATTGTTCCGCCATTAGATGGTGACAAGAGACTTTTACATGTCAGCAGTAAAGACTTTTATACTGAAACGGAAGTTATTTTTACTTTAAACAACAGCTTGTAAGGCGCTGCCAACAAATGCAATGAGCAGTGCTGTAATTGGAAATCACCCTTAAAAGATGAAAGATAGTACAACAAAGATATTGCTTTCCCCAGCGGACATTCAGACTAATGTTTTATTGTGAATATGAATATGAGCTGAAGAATGAATGCTTTATCAGATGCAGGTAATCACACTCGCTCAGTCCATCTCTCTCTCATAATACTATTTATAATACAGTGAGCTTTTAAAACAGTAATACAATAAGCTTTAATGAAGCAACTCAACGTTCCTTCGTTACTTGTTCTAAAGTGACATTTTCGAATTAGTAACGGAGGCTTGAGCTCAGCTGTTAAACTGTCAAACTGAGATTTGAAGCTGTGGCGAAAGGAAGTAGTTCGGCACAAAAGGGTTTTTAAAGACACTCCGTTGTTGTTTTTCTTATGCATTTACACACTCGTGCCTTCGAACTGTTGTATAAATGTAATACCACTCTCGTACTCGAGTGATACCAGCTCTGGCCTAATCACAGCCATGCTGACATAGAGCCTGTATCGCTCGAATACGAGAGTGATATTGCTCATATATATATATATATATATATATACAGTATACAATATATGTGCATATTGGAAGTAATGACCATTTCAATATGCCTTGCCTCAACTTCCTATTAGAAAACATGTCAATATAGTATAGAAAACCGTGCTTGAGTGATTTAATGGGGTCTTTAACCTGGGATTAAGGAGATTTTGACCTACTGAGCAGAAAGTTGAAAAGCTTTCTGAAAAATATTTTTTATCTGATGCAATTTAATTCTTATTTTTCTTGCTTATTTCTTGAAAACCTGTCAAAGTGTTTACAATTTTTGGAGCTTTTTTTAGAGCTCCGAAGTGTTGATATTAGCATATAATTAGCATGAACCCATGGGCACTAACTCACGTAGTAACTAAACACTTATGAAGTTGAAAACAGCACTGGAGAACAGAGGGAATTTCAATCGATTTGCATATATGAACAGATGTGTAAAACATTCTGAATTAATGGAACAGTAGCTAAAAGAGGTGTGCAATGGTGGAAAGTTATCTCTTTCTCTTTTTTTTTGGCAAACTGAGCTACAGTTGAGAGTTATGACCTCTGCCAGAAAGACTGTAAATGGTAGAGAATTGAACTTGGCTTTACAGAGGTAAGTGTCGCTCTTGAGAAAGAACTTTTTGAGAGCACTCTTCCCAGACATTCATTTTACCATTTTATGAGACAGCCATTCATATAATGGTGGTGAAGTGTGTTATGAATGAACTAACCGGTAGAGTTGATGCAGGACACTCCGTCTGGGGCCAGCGAGAGCTCTTCATCACAGTAGCACACCGTGCCCTCAGAGGTCTCGTGGCAATCTCCTGACTCACAGTGACTGCAGTTCTGAACTGGGTTGATAATAACTTCACCGTCACCTTCCATGCCTGGAAATAACATTACCATACTTATGGGATGGTGAAGCACAGTAGGAAAGCTTGAGGCTTATAATCAGAAGATTGTTGGCTTGATCACAACAGGGGTAAGTTTGCGCCCTTAAGCAAGGAACCTTAATCCAGGTTTTTCCAAGGGGATTGTCTCTATAATATGGGTCCTGTACTTTTCAGTTTGGAACTCATTGATCTAAGCTTATGAAAAACGTTTAATCATCTCAAAATCTGAGGAGGATAAGCTTAGATCAGTGAGGCATACGATCAATCGCATCCAAAAAGAAATATAAAACATGTCCTAATTGAAAGAAAACAAGTTGATGAAAGGATTGAATCCAATATTTGGAAACGGTATAGTATAGCAAGAATAATTTTTTTGAATGCCAGTCAGGTTAGGTTGATGAAAGAATTGAATCCAATATTTGGAAACGGTATAGTATAGCAATAGTATAGTATAGCAACAAGTTGATGAAAGGATTGAATCCAATATTTGGAAACGGTATAGTACAGCAAGAATCATTTTTTGAATGCCAGTCATTTTTGACCAGGAACCACAAGTGTAAAAAAAAAACAATGCCTGTGTGAGCAAAGTCAGTAAGTTTAAAGCAATGCAATGACATTAACTAACGTTTCCTGTGAAAAGAACATCCTCTCCAGGTCAAAATTACCAGAAAACAACATGAGGGTTAAGGGTGTCATATCAGTCAAAGTCAAAGTCTCACTGTGAATGGATTTTTATTGCTGGGCCCACAGCTTCTGAATCATGTCATTGATGTGTGGAATTTCTTATTTGTTCACCAGTGAATGCTCTGGGGAATTAGTTTATAGTTCTGAGATTTTTACAGCATAATTTCATAGTACACAGTATATTTTCATAGTACATCAAACTGTTTTATCTTCCTCACAATATAACTTCCTCAAGTAAATTGCCCTATTATTGCACAAGACTAAAGCAAAACCTATAACTTTTGTATTAAGAAAACTTCTTGATGATCGAATCGTATTTCCAATGTAGGAGATGCTTTTCATCACTCACAGTCCTGGAAGCTTAACAATGGTGCCTTAGAGGGAATGTAAGAAACCGTATATGATTTGAATCATCTTCAACTTTAGGTACAAACTTCAACTAACTGTAGAGATAAAGTATACCACTAATAGCCCACTATCATCCAGACATCTGTTTTCCAAGATGCTTGTTATTGGCACCCTAATATTTCACTGCAAATTAATTTGTATGTCCCCATTAAACTTTTCACAAAAAATGTGAAATTGGTTCTTGGATTTAATTTAAGCCCTTAATTTGAATGATAAAGAGGTGATGACCTCCAGTCGTCCCGACTGCATCCTAATTTGTGTACTTCTAGTACGCTCTAAAAGTTTATGTACCTCATTAGTGCTGGAACAATGTAACTCTGAGTACACAGGTAGACAGTATGCCTGTATTGAAATGTCACCACATTTAAGTATGAATGTTAGCAGCAAGTATTGCCTTTAAATTCATTAATAGTTAACTGTTTATATTTTTAAAATCTGCAATAGCTATATTGTAACTATTTAATCACTAATTTTTAGGGATTGTGTGCAATGTCAGCACAAAAGTTTGCAAGACATGTGCTTTGAAAATGAAACACAAATAATATCCTATACCATCTGGTCCTTTTGGCTTATCATCATCAATGTACTATGAGTTGAAACACAACTTGATGATCTTAATCTTGTATATAGTATGGCTTATATAGTATGGAGAGTATGCATTGGATTCACCATAAACTCAAAAGTGTACATATTTACCATTCTGTACTTGTATACACTGTACTTATGTATACAATACACATACTTATGTTATGTGACATTGTGTAGCATAAATAGTGTGTTCACATTTAAAGGTCCAATAAAAAGTGCACTTCAAATACCTGAATGATGTGAAACTATTTAACCAAAAAAAAAAGAAGAAAAGTGTGCTAGAAATGCAAGAATGCTATAAATTGCACGCACCAAACGTATGTAAGTGAATCTATAAAATCCATACAATAGATTATATAGGACATATAGTATAAGTGCATCTTGTATTACCTTTGAGTGGCTCCAGGTACATTTCACCATCAGGACTTATGAACGATGTTCCATCATCTCCATCCTTTCTGGGATCATTATCGTGCCAGGCACTGCCCCCTATGGTCATGGAGTTGAGAAACAGTAACAAAATGAAACAAAACTACAAAAATGAAGATATATATAATATAAACAAGGCTAAAATTTGGTCTAACCTCTGTATCCTCCACCTCCTCCACCAGCTGTGCAGGCCCCTCCACCACCTCCAAAACCTCCTCGAGTTTTCCAGCCCATGACTTGACAGGGTTCTCCACCCTGACCTCCCAGAATGATTGGTCTACCCCCTTGAGGAACAGGGGCAGTGTCATTCCAGCCTCCACCACCGCCTGAAATTCACAGAGCCACTCAGATCATAAAAACTATATTAAAAGACACAAAAGTGCCCTATTTCAGCTTCTCTGCATGGCTAATTAATTTCACAACAGGTGACAATATATATATTTTTTATTTATATCCATCCTCCAACAGATCTATGAATGCAGAGTGGCACAGCAATTTCTCCAGAGAAAATAGTCTCCTATGAACATCCCTGTTCCTCTAAAGCAGGTCAGTGCTGTTGCTTAGCATGCACATGTTCAAATAAAAATGTGGCAAATTATTTCAGACGTCAAAGCCGTCCCATTTTGCTAACTCTCTAATGGTTTCTTAGCAGCACATTCTTTGCTGGGGAGAAAAAAAACAAAACACTCAGGCCATTTTGAATAAAGACGATTTTTAGAGATAAAAAGGAAAGCAAGATTGGAAGGATCGATGGATTGACCATTGACCATTTCTAGATGACTGCTAGGGTGTCCTGTGTGATTTTTTTTAAGGTGGTTACTAGGGTGTTCAGTGAGGCTGTTATGTAATTATTACATTTCTGTACATTTCCTTATGGACATGATGGAAACATATTCAATATAATTAGGAATGAAGGTTTTGTGTAGCAAATAGAGCACAATGGGGGAGCTGGCCTTTGAAAAGAGTGCCACTGATAGAAGCCATACTGAGTGCTCGGCAGGACACAAACAGAACACCCACAATGCAACAGCATGCAGAAACATGATGCACAGACACAGATGCACCTTCAATTGCTTAGACTTGAAAGCAGAGCACACTATTATTACTGTACTGTTGTTGCCGCCTTCCAATATATATATACTGTATATAAGAATATCCAAGATCCAAAATTCTAACACTGATTTGCTGCTTCAGTCTTATTCAGGACAAGGAATTTGAAGGCACATCCTCAAAAATCATATTCAATCTTAGACTGGATAAAGAACTATTTTGAAGCCTAGCAGAAAAGAAAATTATTATGCCCATGTCCAGAAAGGAAAAAGCCTGGGGGAGCAGCATTTTTTTTTTTTCATATCAATCAAACTTGATATTCTGGTAAACAAAAGCATAGTTCCAACTATCCACATGAAGTAAAAAATAAACAGATAAATAAAAATATCTGCCCTGTGTGCAAAATGTTCTGCTTCACTGCTATCTGCCAGAAGGAGTAATACACACTAGTTCAGTAATGCTAAAATGTGTCTAATTGATTTATAATGCAGACAATCTGTTTGGGTTACCTGCAGCACCTGATTTTCCATTACGGCCGGGAATGCTGGGATCCCTGTCCATCACTTCCTCTAGGGTTTCTGATTGGCTGCTGTAGCCACGGCCTCCACCTCCAGCAGCAATAAATAGAGGAATGTGGACTCCATTTACCACCTGTAACCAATGGAAACAGGACTATAATTTAAGTGTAAATCTTCCAATTGCCACTGAAATGTGAGGTGCCATGATGCTACTGCGGTGTCGCCAGGGTATTGCTATTCTAAGGTGTCACTATGTGGTTTCTGCTGTGTTCAAGGTGATTGCTTGTGGGCCCAGCCCCAATCTGTATAAATGACCCTTCCTTCTATGTATGGCTTTAAGGACTTTCTCATCAATTAGTTACCTGCAGCGCCTGATTTTCCATTGCGGCCGGAAATGCTGGGATCCCTGTCCATCACTTCCTCTAGGGTTTCTGATTGGCTGCTGTAGCCACGGCCTCCACCTCCAGCAGCAATAAATAGTGGAATGTGGACTCCATTTACCACCTGTAACCAATGGAAACAGGACTATAATTTAAGTGTAAATCTTCCAATTGTAACTGAAGTGTGAGGTGCCATGATGCTACTGCGGTGTCGCCAGGGTATTGCTATTCTAAGGTGTTACTATGTGGTTTCTGCTGTGTTCAAGGTGATTGCTTGTGGGCCCAGCCCCAATCTGTATATATGACCCTTCCTTCTATGTATGGCTTTAAGGACTTTCTCATCAATTTTATTGGTGAGATTGAACCTGGTTTGCATACTCTACATAGTTACTCAACAATGTTCTTCAGATAAAGCAGAATTTCAATAGAATGTGATGTTAGCATGTGGCTAAGCTAACACCCAATACTATTTTACACATTGACATGACATGACACATGAATATTGGCTAAAATCGTGAATTGTAATTAGATTAGAAAATATCTTTATTGATATCAGCATTGAATTAAGTATATGTATAGGTAATTGTTGCATACAACTCTGTCTGCCATTTACTGATTGATTGATTGATTGATTAATTTGAGGTCATTAATTGTGGTGCATGCCCCAACATTTAACACTCAAAGTTAGACATTTTCAAAGAGACTGACTGAAGAAACTGAGGGATAATTCACCCAAGAATGAACATTTTGTCATCATCACCACTCTCAACTTGTTCCAAACATGTACGAGTTTAAGTTTGAGATATTTTGAAGAATGAAGATGGTGACCGAACAGTTGATGACAGTTGATGACTTTCCCCCACCCCCCCATTTCTGGGCGCACTGTCCAAATAGATATACACATATTTAAATGTACAATGTTGGAAATATCCAATTTAAAAGGCATTTTATATAGTGTCACCTTGAAGACGTAGGTGCCTCCTCCTCCTCCACCACCTCCTCCCTTAAGCTGGGTCTTGTTGATTGATGGTCCTTGCTGTTCCCTGCAGATCCGGTCCATTGTAGTCACCATCTATGAAAAAAAAAATATATATGCAATTCTTTCATGTTTTGCTAGATGCTCATACCCTTTTTAAATTTTTTGAAACAGTAGCACAGGGATATATTGGTAGAAAGGATTACTCACATTTGGGCAAGCATCCTCTCCTTCCTGTCCCACTAGAATATACAGCAGCTCATCCTTCTGTAACAGGAAGTCTCCGGTCATGTACACCCCATGTGACTTGTGGACAGCCTGGACACTGCGTCCACCAGCTGCTCCATACGTCGTGATCCTAAACCCAATACAGATAAGTAAGCAGTCATTTAGCTGCTGCTTTCTCCCAAAGTGACTTATAGTGCACTTATCTCCGTGAGTGACCAGGGGTTAAGTGCTTTGCTCAAGGGCACAATGGCAATGGTTCTTCACACACTTCTTACGGGGATCAAACCGACAATCTTCTAATTACAATCCCTGACTTTTAGTAACTACACCACCATTGAACCAGGAATGGCATGAATGCTCTGTTCCTAAAGCTAGCAAGCTGCCCTGCAGTTTACTGCCTACAGCAGCATTCTAACTGAAATGGAACCACATAAGTTAATGGAACAGTCTAAGTCTACATACAGTACACATCTCCACAAGCACAGTTCCAGCATTAGCATGTTGCTAAGCAAACGACGTGTTACTGTTTTTACTTTAAAATGACACAACACATTAATATTGTGTGAAACAGTCTATTTTAATTACCATACTTTCCAGAAAATAAGTCACACATGACTATAATTTACAAAATTTGCACTAAGGGGGAAAAACACAGATAAGTTGCACCATTTCAATGTACATTTTAAAAATATTTTTCCTATTTAGACTGTCATTCTAAACAACCACTGTTTCTCACTACTCCATCAGCCATCTTGGATGGATTGTTTGAGCTGAACTCATTTTTCTTTTTCTCCAAAAGAAGCTACTTACAATGCCGTCGCAGTATTTGGTCAAATGAGATATTCTAGCAGACAGCATAATATTACCTTCTGAAACAGCATTTGCATCAGGAGCATGTCTTAAAATGTCGTCTAGGTAGGCTCACTTTAAACAGAGCTGAAAAAAAAAATGTTTTCTTTACAGACTTTGCTAAGTGAATGTCATTATCAGTCTGGGTGCTACTTGAGCAATGCAGCTGATGAAATGTGTTTTCCCATTCCTCCTGCTCCACGGACAACAATTACCTGAATGACCTGACGGGCTCGATAACAGGCAGCAATTGTGCAGAAAAAGAATGTTTTCCCATTTCATGGTCGAAAAAGTAACTACTAAATTCCTAGAGGCTGAACAGTATGGCATTTTGGGTTGTGGTGGTCAGGACATTATGTGTGTGTGTGTGTACCTGTATTTCCTTGTCTCTGGGACCCGCCACATCTGGATGCCCTTGAATGGTCCCTTAGTGCCTACAGTGACATTGACATTGGTGTTGCGGTATGAGTTACTGCACTGAGTCGGCGTTGGACCGTCTTGTCCTGTTGCTCCGCAGGTGTGGAATATCCACTTGACAGCTGAAAACACACACAAATGTCCACACATACAGCGAATGTATTATTAGCTTTGTAAAATAAGAATTCTTCTTGTTCAGAGAGAGAGAGAGAGAGAGAGAGAGAGAGAGAGAGAGACACTATAACTTGGTGTAGAACTTGGACAAAACAAGTCTTTGCTCTTTTAGATGGCAAAAATGGAAAGAGATGCTATGTGATGTGTTTGGCTGGCTGGGCTGTCAAAAAGCCACAGACAATTTATGATTTTTCTCTTCTTAGCTGGAAACCTGTAGAATGTCTTTCACAGACCTGAAAATAGCACCACATGAAGAGTTCATTCATTGCTAAATGTCAAACGCACTTATTCATGAGAAGAATGAGGTTCTGATTGAGTTCACTTCACTTCTGGTAAGATATATACTTGGCTCACATCCAATGGATTCTAAAGGTTAAAGTGTATTACAGGTATGTTGCACCACATTTAATTTTTTTTCTGGCATCTTTATCTGCTCAGAAGCTACAGACTGGAGGCTTATCTACGTCATCTTCATGCGCTATTTATTATCTTTGTTTGTAGTGTCCTATAACACACTGAAAAACACGTTTCATTCATCCAATTAAAAAAATGTAGGGTAATGATTCACATCTATATTTTTTAACTTGAGCCAATGAAAAATAAATAACTTGCCCTAAGGTGCAGTGGGCATTTGCTGTGTACCCTAGTGAAAAAGAAGTACACTTTAGCATACTTCTGAAAAGAGTACTTATTATAGAAAATAATATAATAAAAAATAGATGTCTGGGTAACAAAACCTTTAAAAAAAAATCAAAAATGTTTTGAAAGTGATGAAAAATTAATCCATATGAATCGATTATTTAATCCAAGTCTTGTGAAGAAACACAATTGCTTTATGTGATGAACATATTAAATTGATAGGCCTTTATTCACATATAAGCACAACGAATCACACATGGTAAACACAGAATCTTCAGCACACTTGTGTGTTACATGAAAATCAATGAGGTTTGGTTTAGCGTGTGATGCATGCACACACGTATGTGTTCGCAGTGTGTATGTGTGTTTTGACTGTTGTTTAAAAGTAAATAAAACCCTAAATTAAATCTCTTCATATATCTTCACAAGGATTAAAGTGCTAAGATTAAAACAAATATGTCATCTTATTAACCTTTTTGGATCATTTAAGTTTGGGTTACCTGGACTTTCAGAGTTACAGAACCCTCTGAGGTTTAATTAAACAGTGTTTCCAAGATCTTATGGGTTTGAAATGACATTAGGGGGAGTAAATCATGACCAAATTTTATTTTTTTTCCCTATCAATGTTAAGTGCAAACTGAATGTGATGTTTTTTTTTTTTTTTGACAATTTGTTACACGTTAACCCATTTCATAGACAAAATTGGATGGGAGGGGAAAGTTCTATTATTGATCTACTGACAATGTGCAAATTAAAGAACACAGCCACAGCCAGCTCATTTATATAATGACCAACGCAATTTACTAGGAACAGTGCATATTAGCGTAAGGTTGTAGACGATGCTAATCAGGTGCGGGTGATCTACTAACAACACAGGTGCAAAATAGGTTATACCCATAAATCACATTGCATGATGCATTTTAATACTCTCCTCTCTGAAATTTCAGGTCTGAAAGGGAAACACCTACAAATGCATGTGCAATAAGCCAAAAAATAACTCCACACTTTTTCATCGCAAAGTTTTCACAGTATGTGTCTTTGGGGAAATGGGGAAGTCGTGGCCTAATGGTTAGAGAGTCGGACTCATAACCCAAAGGTTGTGGGTTCAAGTCTCGTACCGGCAGGAATTGTAGGAATTGTACCCCCAACTGCTCCCCGGGTGCCGCAGCATAAATGGCTGCCCACTGCTCCGGGTGTGTGTTCACGGTTTGTGTGTGTTCACTGCTGTGTGTGTGCACTTTGGATGGGTAAATGCAGAGCACTAATTCTGAGTATGGGTCACCATACTTGGCCACATGTCACGTCACTCACTCACTCACTTTGGTAGATTCTGATAGTGCTTTTTTAAATGCAAAAAAAGAGAGAGTTTGTGCTGGTGCAAGCTGTTAGTAAATCTGGCACTAAATGTAATATCAAATAACACAATTACAAACAAGTACTTTACATGTTAGGCAACATGTCAAAATAAGTGTACTTGGTAATACGGTATTTAAAGGTGTCTTTGTTACACCTTACATGTACTTACTTTTAATAACAATAAATTAAGCATAATTACATGCAAGCCAAACCCTAACCATATAGTAAGTACATGTAGTTAATTAATATTACTCAGTATTTAAATGTATCATTACACTGTAACAAGGACACCTTATAACAAAGTGTATGAAAAAAAAAGATTTAAAATGTACTTAAAACTTTTAATTTGACTTTATTACAAAGTGCATTTGGTACTCAAGCGTGTACAAGTTATGAAACTATCTTTAAGTATGCTTAAATTGCTTATTTTATTATATTAATGCATATCATCTTCAAGTTAAGTTTTTAAAAATATATACTTTTAAGATTTGAGGTATACACTTGAAGTGCACATTCAATAAACTTATTTTTCATTTCTCTTTCGCAAGGGTAGATTGGGTGCTGGAACCAATCAAATGGCAACCAATCCAGTTTTGAAATTAATCATCAGAACAGAGTGAGATCAAGGTGAGAAATACAAAGTCTCCATAGGTGTAAAAATATCCCATGGCAAAATAGACCTCTTTTCATGCAGTGATGTTGTTCTAGTCAAGTCTGCGAATAAAACATCCGAATAAAAGTTTACTTCCTTGCCAGCAACCTACAGAGATCTGTAATTAGATCTGAAGATAAAGGAAGGTTTGAGTTGTAAGAGAGGTTTGCGGCTGACAAATATCACCAATTATGGTCTTATACAGCTTCCTTTTATTAGAGTTCTTGAAGGTTTGATTGGTGGAAATGGCTGAGTCATCGGAAGCTGAGCAGCGGCGCTCAGTGCATCATGAGGTTAGCGGCCCGTTTCTCTTTTCTCATCAGAAGAAGCAATCACGCAGACACAAGTCAGAGGAAGTAATCAAGGAGACAAAGGCCGAGGGAGCTGATCTGACAGAAGAACATGCTCCCTCTCTCCACAGCGCTGAAGATTTGAGTCAGCATAAGGCATACTCCCCCATTCAACTGGGCTTTGCTTGCCAAAATGAGATGCCATGGTGGCAAAGGGAGAAATCGATAGTGGAGGATGGATGGGGAGAGGCCAGGAACAGAAAAGAGAAGGTAAAATTAGAGATAGCAAGAGGGTGAGCGGAGGCATGACAGAACATATCAATAGTTGCACAATTTATCAAACGCATCAAAACATTTTCAAAGTTATATCAATTATACATGACTGAATCAAAGGAAGACTGATGTGCTGCTTGATTTCCCTTTGAGTTTAAAGAAAACAACTGCCGAAAATAGAACTTTAGAAAGCTTTACTAGAGTGTGTCTGGAAGAAAGTGTTTGTGTTTAATTATTAACTGTCTTGAGCAGTTGTGGTTTTGAACAGCTCAGAAATGATAGGTTAAAACTAGACATAGGTGGTATGATCAAGATATATTATGATATGCTTCTTTTTGATGGAAAGCCAACTGAAAAAAAGAGGTGTGTATAGAATAAATGTAATGCAGTAATGCAGAATCCAGTAAATTATACTGATTATTTCTAACTTGTGTAAATTAACTTAGTGTAAAAAAAAACATTTATATGTTGCATAACACTATGTAACTGAATGAATATGCACTAATTTAAACACAGGGATGACTGCACATTGGTTCTGTACTAATTGTACACAACTAACAATGCCCCTTTTTAACAGGTTCTTGTCTTGACTTGAATGCATTTTGCTCTGATATTTTTTTCTCCATTGCTCCATTTACTACAGCATAACAGCACTGCAAATGTGCCATCTGTTTATACTTTTCAACTGTTGCATGGTGTGTATTATCACCAACTCATAACTGAAGCTGAGACTCAAACGCTTCACAGATTACATTATTATACTATTTATAAAATAAAACAGTCTCTTCTGCTCTTAAACAACAATGGCATGAAATATTATTATTTAAATGTGTAATACATTTAAATTTATTTACTCCTTAACAACTAAATTGTACTGAATCCAAACTTCCAAATAACATGATATGGTATAATATGATAATATGATGCTGGATGCATTGTGTTGTGATTTTTATTTCAGGGGGTTGCTGGTTAACTAACAGAACTTTTGCAAACATATGAAAAATAAAACGTTTTCTTAAATGAAACAACCAAAAACTCAACTTGTCATGAACGTTAATTTTCTGAAGTATTCAGAAATAGATTTAAGCATTTTATAAATACATTTAATATTGATAATGTTGAATGTTACATTATTAATTATTTTTAATGTGAGAACCACTCTTAAAAAAAAGCAATACTGATGCAAACTTCAATTAATAATTTCAAGCAAATTGCAAGCATTAAAAAAAAAAAAAAACTATGCAAAATTGTAGAAAAGAAATTGAATTATCATCAATGGGCATGAAATGTATCCTAAGTTGTAATGACTCATATACTCCGCAAAGTGCAAAATAAATAAATAAATAAAGATTTATGTAGGATGAGGTCAAACAATCAATTTCATAAAACATTAAGCACTGAATCGTCCTCCTTTTGCCTTTTCAGACACTGCAGAGAAGAGTTGGATTGTATTTTTTTGACCATTCAAGCTGAACTACGCCAGAGAATGGCCTGTGTGAGTGAGATTTGCTAATGAGTCTTGATGAATAGCAGATCAGCTGCTCGTTCAGATTTATTAAGGCTGAAATGGCGTGGGAGTCATTTCACAAACACTCAAGCTCACCATATTGATAAATGGCTATGCTCCAATGAGCATGAACATAAGAGGGACACCTGTATATGCTATAAGCAAGCAGATCAGTCTTCCCAATGCTGATGGCTTTTGGTAGGACATTTTCAAAAGTCATGTGCTAGACGGCTGATTTGTGCATGTTCAATAGACAATCATACTAATGTGAAGCAATGTTTTACAATACAGGCTTCATAAACAATTCTGATCATTTGAAAGCATTAATGTGAAACATTGCCTCTGTTTTCACAGTTGGTTTGATTGCAGAATGGCACCTGCATTTGTCTGCCACAAACACATTTAAGAGATTGGAAAAATGAGAGCTGTTTGCTGTAAAGCAATTTGAGATGAGCAGCTATGAGAAATTCATTATTCTATAATACATATGATCAGGACTGTGCAAATATGCAAATTCTTTGTCATTAATAGCACTTCACTTCCACAATTTAGTACAGATTATGACATGACTTGTGTTCCAGAGGCGATTTCAAGCAGACTTAATATGTTTCATTGATTTGCACCCAAGTTTTGAAAGCCACATTTCCACCAACCAAATCACACAAACTCTAATGTCATCCTGACCCAGATGTGCACCAAAAGCTGTAAAGTGAAAGCACCCTTAGATGCTATAACCGGTCTTTCGGCAGTGTTTGAATTGTAGAAGATGGTGCAGCAATAGTCCAGTAGATGGCATACTTTCTTTTCTCTGCAGTGTGCTTCCATGACACAGAGAGAAGAAGAGAGACAGTATCTGAGCCTCTGTTCATAAGCATTCATCTTCTATATACATTAGAAGTGCAACATATTTTGTGTACTCAAGCATTTCAACAATTTCGGTGTGCTCAGAAGGAATTGCGTGGTCTGGACTTTGAATTAGGTCCTCTGATGTCTGCAGTGCATAACTCATAACTTGCTGGGAAAACAAAGATTCCAGAGTCTTTATAAAAATCATGGTGCTACCACTGTTGGAATTGGGAGTGTTAGGTAGGTAGGTAGGTAGGTAGGTAGGTAGATAGATATATAGGTAGGTAGGTAGGTAGGTAGGTAGGTAGATAGGTAGATAGATAGATAGATAGGTAGATAGATATATAGGTAGGTAGGTAGGTAGGTAGGTAGGTAGATAGGTAGATAGGTAGATAGATAGATAGATAGATAGATAGATAGATAGATAGATAGATAGATAGATAGATAGATAGATAGATAGATAGATTATAACAGACATGACATTAGACTGGGGTGCATTTCCAGTACAAGGACGTAACTCGCTGCTTAACCACAGTATGCTATATCATTAGAGAAATTAACTAGTAAGTCACGATTCTTCCCAAAACCGTAGTAGCATGGTGGTGTTTAAACCACACAACAATAGGTTGTCGTTAATGACATCGCATGCAGGTGGTGCAGTAATAATAACTTCTGCTAATTAATCAATTCGAGAATGCAATTTAAATGCAAAATTATTGTAGTGCATTTACGCAAACAACAAAAAAATCACATTAACATGCAGTATGTAATTGGTGTACACTTTATTCTTGCATGCAGTTCATTTCTCCACAACGCAATTTCTCTGAGATGCTGTTGTGACAGACATGGACTACTTCATTATTTTTATTCCTTAATTGTTTTGCTTTATTTGATGCATTGTATGTCAATCAGACAGATGCTTCTTGACTTACTGGGTTGGGTAGGCATAAGAGACTAGTTTAAAATAAACCATTGAACAATGACTGAAACTGTGTTTGTTTCAGTGCTCATGCACTCTACAGTTTCAATACAATAACACAAATAACTGTGGTTTGCACCAAACGTCAGACTTGTAATCACATTGGGGCAAATTTCAGTCAGAACAAGTCAGATAAAAGTTAGAAACAACTCAAAAAAGACAAACAGCTCAAGCACATGAAAGTAGCTAAAACTCACATTCTGTAGACGCTCCAGGCTCTCCATCGAGTGCTGTCGTGGTCTTGATGTTCTCATTGCTTGGTGTGAACAGCACTTGTGTGGGGCTTGTGGGAGCCACCGGAGGAAATTCTCCATTGGCTGAAGATGAGAGAAAAGACATAATAAATTGGTGTGGTCCAACAATACTCCTGCAGTCAGAGAAAATGTTGCAGGCATTGTTAAAACACAGTTTCTGTAAGCCTATAGATAATAGCTGGATTTTGGCTCAATAAAAAATACTTTTAGATAATCCATTTCATTAACAATACCCATTCTCTATAGCTGGTAATGATATCCACATCTTTGTCTTGAGAATTGTGTTAATATACGAGACATACACTGAAAAAAATGGCTCAACTGTTTGCATATCTTTCAGATGTTAATCATATGCTAATAAGGTTGTTTGCTGATGATGTAGGAGTCTTAAATGGGTGAACACTTGACCTCAAAATCTTGATATGCATTACTCAACAGGGAAAATTCCATGTCACTTAGTCATTACTTAAAAATGCAGATCACACATGGACAATCATTTTATATACAAATAAAACATAACCTTTAGTTATAATTGCTAATACATCAAGAATTTATGGCATTTGTCATTTTTACTTTCATTGGCAAAAGCTGTTACTGGGGTCATGTAACATCTAAGTCAGATGCCTTTCCATATCATGAGGATTTTCTGCTTCTTTCTCTCTTTGACTGGATTTGACATTTCCATCACCTCCCCTCACGCAATTTTCATGGGGTAATATTTTATGGACCTCTCGATGCTTAAGCATGCAGAATAGTAAGCACTTGGGATAAAACATGTATTATCTATATAATTGTACACCAATTGCATTGTCCAGTTCTTGATTCTGATTTGCTGATATGTTGATTGCACAGCTATGGGATAGCTCTTGTTGACTGCATAACATTGGCAAATCAAATTTCAGTTTTTGGCCATTTTTCTAAGGAAGATATTTTATTGGTGGCACAAGGTCAGAAAACCTGAAAAAAATGCATGTTTTAAAAGCAGAATTCCATTATTGTCATGGGTTAGGGTGGTTTTCAAAGAATTCTTCAAAACCTCAGTGGGACAAAATATCTGACAGAAACAAATATTTAAGCATTTGTCTTTAAAGAGTTTCTATACAGTTTTAGTTTAATTATGAAGTATGTTATACTTGTAATTCTTGGACATAAAACACAGACAACCACAACTCCACACAAGTAGACAACCACCACCAATAGAGTCAAGAGTTTAGTTCATATTTCTTAATTACTTTGACAAGCCACATGAGCTTCTGCATTGTTCCAATTGTCAACTCCCTGTGAAGACAAATCATCCTATTCCCCCAAACGTAGCTGCTCAGACAATACTGGGACTCTGTGAAAAATGCTACCTCTCATCTCCATCCCTTAATCATCGCTTTAAAAATATTACATCCACATCCAATTCTACCATACTACCATTCCACATCCAAAAGTTGCAACCCAGGCTCATTCAAAATACGTGCCTCTAAATACATTTACGCAACACTGTTATTACATACCTTACTGCATGTTTACGGCAGTTTCAAAGTAAAATGTCCAGTGCAGTGGGGCTAAAACGTGGGTTCAATATGTAACACTGGCACATTTTTGTTTTGTCGATGTAGGCACGTATTGCTGTGTTTGAATTACATTGCGTATTGTGGTGGTTCATAATTCAAATATGCAAGAGTGTCGCTAAAATGCTCTATCGTTTTGGAAATATCCCCTACACCAAACCCAACCCTAAACCTACTCAGTAGTGTTAACAAATGTAAAAGTGATATAAAATGCACTTTTTGTTGCAGCCATGCTATTTTAACTTCCTCATGCGGATTTGAGCTGTTTTGTTTGAACCGTAATTTCACAGGGTTCGTACCAGAGCTGTTCATCACTTAAGCGCAACGCCATATCGCGTATATGAGTTAGAAAACTCATGAATATGAAGCTGGATATGTGACGACTCAAAAGTATCAGTTTTCAAATCTCGCAGCGTGTAAAAATAGAAAATAGTTTTGAATTCATAACATAATGTTCCTCAAGTAATTATGCGAAAATTGTGCTTTACTTATCGAAACTGTGGACCTGAAAATCATACTATGTGTGAAAAATAATAAAAGTTGTTGGAGTTTTACTGCCTCTAGTGTTCATTTCAAAACTGCAGTGATTTGTATGTATAGGTACGTTTCGTAGAAATGTAGGTAGAAGCACGTATTTCCAATGAGCCTATGTTTCAAAGGTGCTCTGTTGGATTGTGCTCTGGTGACTGCGGAGGCCATTTAAGTGTAGTGTACTTAATATAATGTTCAAGAAACCAGTTTGAGAAGATTTGAGCTTTGTAACATGGTCTGTTATCCTGCTGGAAGTAGCCATTATTAGATGGGTACACTGTGGTCAAAAAGGGATGGATATAGTCAGCAATAATATTCAGGTAGGCTGTGGCATTTAAACAATGCTCAAGTGGCCCAAAGTGTAAAAACAAACAAACAAAAACACTTCCCACACCATTACACCACCATCAGTCTGAAAGCCTGATACAAGGCAAGATATATCTATGCTTTCATGTTAGGGCTGTGCAATTAATCGACATACAGTTTCGATTTCGGCTTCCGATTATGAAAATGCGATAATCGAGATAAAACGATTATTGTGCCCCATTCCTCCTTTCCATCGGGGCAGTTTGGCTCCTCCATAAATGCCCAAACTCAACGTGCAAATCAATAAAATCTTTAAAAAAACTAAATGGGACGTGCTTGATTTATTCATGTTTATTAGATTTGTTTGTGTTTCTAAAAGCGCAAAAGAGAACTTGCACTGATCTGTGCATGCGCTCCAACACGGAGCAGAACACGGACATGTAAAGTAAACTTTTAGCTTAAACTGCATGCCTAAACGGTCAAATACACGCAAAAATATGTCAAAATGCAGGGCTTGGTGATTATTCATGTAAACACTCGTCAGTTATGTCTTAAGTGAATGTAAACAGTTGAGAATGAAAATACGTGTGTAACAGTATATTGGATCCGTACAGCTCTTAAAGCGACAGCGGGTAATATTCCTTCTGCCGTATCAGACCACAAAAGACAAGGGGAAAATCACTCACTGCTCTTGACTGAAGGACTTTTGTAACTTTAATAAGAAACACAGCAAGTTTAATTATTACAGTAAAGACTATGCTGTTTTATTTTACATTTGATTATTACATTTCTGTAGTATGCTGTTAGCTAAATACTTTAGACTTGCATAAAAAAATGTACAGCACTGATTGTTGTATTTGTATGTTTTTTTCTATTGTTTTTGACATTTGCTTTTTTTATTGTATTACTGAATTGTATCACTGATATAAAGTTTTGTGCATATTACCCACTAATAATCCTGTTAAATAATTGTGATTACAATATTGACCAAAATAATCGTGATTAATATTTTTGCCATAATCGAGCAGCCCTACTTTGATGTTATGCCAAATTCTGACCCTACCATCTGAATGTTGCAGCAGAATTCAAGACTCATCAGACCAGGCAACCTTTTCCCTGTCTTCTATTGTCCAATTTTGGTGAGCACATGTGAAATGTAGCCTCAGTTTCCTGCTCTTAGCTGACAGGAATGCTATCTGGTGTAGTGTTCTGCTGCTCTAGCCAATCTGTTTCAAGCTTCATCGTGTTGTGCATTCAGAATTGCTCTTCTGCAGATCTCAATTGTAACAAGTGGTTATTTGAGTTGATGTCTTTCTATCAGCTCGAACCAGCCTGGCTATAGTCTCCTCTGACCTCTGGAGTCAACAAAGCATTTTCGCCCACAGAACTGGCGCTCACTGCATATTTGCTCTTTTTCGTACCATTCTCTGTAAACTCCAGAGATGGTTGCACATGAAAATCCCAGCAGATCAGCAGTTTCTGAAATACTCAGACCAGCCCGTCTGGCACCAACACCCATGCCACATTCAAAGTCACTTAAATCAACTTTTTTTTCCCTATTTTGATGCTCGGTTTGAACTTGACTACATGCCTAAATGCAAAGAGTTGCTGCCATGTGATTGGCTGATTAGAAGTTACATCATGTTACATTAATACTTTTTATGAAATAAACTCTTCCAGATGGCAGTGCTATACTTAGCAGGCAGTCATCCTATATAGAAACTAAACCACTTGCAGTGCAGTTCATTGATTTTTTTGATCATAACATCATTCTGTTTTGCACTGCTCATTTGCAGTCTAGCCACAGTGTCATATGCAATGTGCCTGTCTTAGGGAAGGGCAAGGTTTTTCAATTGGATTTGGTAATGCATAAATGAGATAAATAGAATAATGCACGCTTCTTATCTGATTTCAACTGAAGCATGTAAATGCAAATTTAAAAAGTGTCATTCTACATTTTACTTCCAAAATGACACAATACGCTACTTATAATGCATTACCTATAGCATTGTGATGTAACCACTAGGCCATGGCTCTGACTATTCATGTATTTTTAATTTCACTATGGATGACAAGTTATCAATGGTTTGACTGCAGAAGCACACACTGCAGTAGACAACTTTGGCTGGTGGTCAAAGACAAGATTTCTTGAACTATGGAAGAATGTTGCTCCAGGGAGAACTGTCACTCAGCAGTTTTTTTTTAATCTGCCAGGACAATCAGAAAACAGCTTAGTCATCACTCTTCAAATACTTCAATATGTCTCCATATCCAACTGGCCAGTTGTGATACTCGCATGGTAGGTCGACGATAATCCAAATCCTAAAGCCCAGAATGACCTCAAGATCTTACAATGAAAAAAGAAAAAAAAATGTTCTGATCTGATCATTTTAAGTCACTTTATTTCATTTCTGTACTTGCCTGAAACATATACCAAATATTTCCGAAATTGTCTAAAAATGTCTGCATGCTGTGCTGCTGTCTCTGTTTTACTCACATAGTTTGACGAAGCACACAACGTTATGCCCTTTTTAAATACTGCTCAAACTTGTGTTCCTCACATCAGAACCAAGGCTCAATATGTTAAGGCTGTGCTAGGGCACAGCTCCGTTTTGTGTTAGTATTCTAATCTCACATATACCCTGAAGGTCTGAATGAATTCAGATA